AAAAGTCAACATCAGATGTTGCTCAAACTTTTTGGGCAACATCTAGGAGTCTTCTAGAGTCAACCTGAAGTGAAAGTGGAAGACAGATATAATTAACAGCTTTTATTTATTAATTTTTCAGCTATGAACAACTTTTTTAATTTTTTTTCCCAGATAATACATATTTTTCAGTTATTAAGAACTTTTATTTTCCGCTTTTATTTTGAAAAGCAACGCTCAGTGTTCGCCGCATCATTACCGTAGTACATGTTGTAAACGTGCACAATTAAACCAGTGAGGGCTGCCGGAGCCGAGTGGAGGCTCACTTTACCGCAGTATGATATCTATGGACAAAGCCTTCAGGGTGTTCTTCTCCTAATACGTTTAGTGGTGGCTAGTAAGTAGCTTAAGGGAGCACTACCGCCACCAGGTGGTAAGACGAGTTGGATTCTAGTCCCTGCCTACAGAACACGGGTCCAGAAGTGTAAATGGAAACAAGACTGCTGTCGCGATTTGCGTTCGGCCCTGCTGGAGCCTTGCCTTGCTGAGGTACAGGTACATTTTTTGGCTGTACTGTAACAGCCTACTGTAAACTTTTTAAACAAAATATATTACATCTGTTTATTTTTGTGCTGAATACACGTTGTTTTATTTATTTACTTCTATATAGTTTGCTCTTTTATTTATTACAGCCTTATGTTTGATGAATTTAAGCTAAGGAAAGGCATAATATCGTAGTCAGACATTTTATTTTGAAAGTCCGACAGTATGTTCGTTCTCGATGGACTGCGCATGCGCAGAGCGCAGCCACGTCACTGCTCTGGTTGCATCACAGAAGGGCGCGAGATAGAAATAGCAAAGCGCGCACAGCCAAGGCGCAACAGTTCAGTTCAACACAGAGGCCCAAGACCCGCCAGAGCCCGCATCCAGAGGAACACCGCAGAGGCGGTAAAGCGCGGTAACATCCTCTATATGTGCACATGACGTGAACGCGCAGAACCGGGAGGGAAATCACCGTGTGACAGCAGGAAAAGCAGAGGAAATGTCTTGGTGGCCGCGCGGGTGAGACTCATCTTTGTTTTGTAAAAGTGTAAAAATGAACACAGCTTGTTGCCTTGATGGCTCCACGTTCCGTTTATTGTTCGAGTGTTCTGAGCGTTGGACGTTTTACACAAACTTGTTTTTGGATTCTGCCTCAGACTGCCGCCCTTTTTCTGAGCTCGATTATTTCTTTTTGATTAAACAGTCTGTAAATCAAATCATTGTGTCATAATGTTTGTTAAACCATAAATTATAAGTATAATTAATAAAGCACTATGTAAGCTTGCTCAGATGCAGTTTTCCATGAGGTGGGTTGTTTTGGACTGTCTGGCAGCTGTTCTCCTGCACATGTGTTTCTCAGTGAAGATGGAGATGAAGCCATGCACCAAGACACAGATTCTGACGTGGCTGATCCAAGGGATGGTTGGAAGGTAAAGGTGAAATGGACCCAGGACGAGGTAATGGCTGACACTTCCTGTTCCAGTTGCTTTAGCTTCATGGGACACAAACCTAAACATGTTGATGCTCACAGGATGACAAGCTGAAAGTTCTGGTTCAGAAACTGGGATCAAGTGACTGGAAACAGATTGCTAACTTCATCCCAGTGAGTCAGACCTTATTACATTTTATGTTGAGCTGTTCATTGTTTATCTAACCAGGTTGAGTCAGGTCTTCTGGATGGATTGTTCTTGTTCTTTCATCCAGAAGACTTCTTCAGTGTGAGGAACTGCACCAAACTCGGTCTTAAAGCAGCACCTTCTCTTAGTGGATCAACCAGTTTGCTGCTGACAGCCAAACCTAGTTGTTCACATGACAAAGGTGGACCATCATCCTAACAGCTGATAGTGGTCATTAGTGCTCTGATGGCCGCTTGCTATTCACAGAGGACTGAGTAATACTTGCAATAACAGCACTGTAAAGGCTACAGTACACTGCCGCGTATGTCCGTTCACGCGTACGTACGCGTGTACTGTACGCAGAGGGTTCAGACTTCATACTCCTGCGTACACCTCGAGCAGCTGCAGAGCAGCTTCACAGACAAGGGGCGTTTACCTTCGGGACAAATTGAGGTCGCCGATTGGTCATTTGCTGACACGCCTACTGGATTGATTGACAGGTCAGAAAAAAGCAAAAAAAAACGAGCGCTGGCAGCCTCCGCCGCAGCGGTGTTCTGTGTTTTATATGTTGTTAATAAAAAGATCTAAAAAAAATTTAAAAACAGGGAGCGCTGGCTCTACAGCCCACACATCAGACCAGCCCACCAGGAAATCTCCAGACCCTCCCGCAGCCACGCTGGACCTGAGTTTAATTCGTTCGTGACAAATTCCTTCAATTCTCACCATTTCAGTCATGACATCAACGGAGGAGGAAGAGATCACTTGCCTCTTGGCAAAAAAAAGAAAAGGCCAGATCAGGGATGAAGAAGGGGAATTTAATACATTGATGTCACATACAAAACAGTCTGTTGCTGGGCAGTTTATTGTGCGACACCGCGTACGCACATGCGGTCATAAAAATTTTAGCTTTGCACGGACATGCCCTGGGGGGTACGCTCGTACCTCTGCGTACGTACATGCGTACCTCTGCGTATGGACGTAAGCGGCAGTATACTGGGGGCTTAAGAAGGTGACAACTGGATACAGAGGCCGCTGCCCCTGTTTAACAAAGGAAATCCATATTGTTCCAGAGCCTGTCTTTTGTGGGATTTCTTCTTCTGCCGGCTCCTGAGTTAGTGAGGACGCTGTCTGCTCTCTGGTACAGAGTCCTGATGACTCCTAACATGCTTCAGAGGGTGATGGGAGTCAAACTCTTTCAGGGATGAAGATGTTCACATCCTTGATAGAGGGGAACGCTGGTTTAAAAGAGGAGTCAAGAGAACCCATCCATCATTAAACAGGAGCAGGGCCTCTGTGTTCAACTGTCCCCCCTCTTACAATGCTGTTATTGCATCACTCAGCCCTCTGTGAATAGCAAGCAGCCACCAGGGCACTAACAATCAATTGTTAGGCTGATGGTCCTCCTTGATCATGTGTGTAGCTAGTTCTGGATGTCAACAACAAACTGGTAGATCCACTATGAGAAGGTGTTATTTATAAGACTGAGTTTGTTGCAGCTCCTCAGACTGAAGAAGTCTTCTGGATAAAAGATGAAATGTCTCAACAAGAAGAATCTGTCCAGAGGACCTGACTCAACCTGGTTAGATTTATCTACCAGGATTACTGAGCAGCATCAGGACTGTTCATTGTTTACACAAACCTCTTGGTTTGTCTTCAGAATCACACTGAGCAGCAGTGTCAGCACCGCTGGTACAAGGTCTTAGATCCAGCGCTGGTCAAAGGTCCTTGGACCAAAGAGGAGGATGAAAAGGTGGGCAGCGTTTTGTGATACTCAGGCGCGGTGTATTTCTCGAGATTAGTATACTGAGCAATTGTTATTTTCCCTCTTTATTTTCAGGTAATCGAGCTTGTGAATCTCTATGGCAACAAACAGTGGGCAATGGTAGCCAAGCACCTCAAGGGCAGACTGGGGAAGCAATGCAGAGAGCGCTGGCACAACCACCTCAATCCCAGCGTGAAGAAGTCCTCGTGGACAGCTGAGGAGGACCTCATCATCTACAAGGCTCATTGTCTGCTTGGGAACCGCTGGGCTGAGATCGCAAAGCTGCTCCCTGGAAGGTCAGCGGACACCTCCACAGCTAGAGGATCATTTGTTTTGTTTGTAGAAAAAAGTCTCCTGTTCCTAAAGAGCTTGTGATCTGTCAACAGGACGGACAATGCTGTGAAGAATCACTGGAACTCAACCATTAAACGCAAGCTGGAGATGGGCTTTTATGCCCGGGAGGTTTTCCAGCCACATGAAATTGAAGAGCTGCTGGCACGTGTTGCTAAAGATGTTCAGGTGGCTTCTTGTTCTCTCAGTCTCCTGTAGGATAGATGAGCAGCAGTATTAAAAGTATTTTGTCTTCAATCACACAGGTGGATAAAGAAGGTTTGGGCAAAGAAACGGAGCTGAAGCCTCATCTTTTAGTAGGCAACCATCACGTCTATTCAAACATCATAAGCCACATTTCAAATGTTGTGGAAACAGTTCTGCTTATCGAAGTGTCTGACTGTCAGTGCTCCGCTTTTCTCCACAAGCTGCAGGAAACTTCAGCTGCTGACGAGTCTCCCAATGAGGCAGAGCCAAGCAAGGATGTCCCCTCACCGAAGAACACTTTAAGTCCCAAGATGGAGGTGGATGCTGTGGGGGAGATGAGCAGCACCAACTGGGTGGTGGACAGCTCTGGTTTTCTCTCTCCTGCAGGCCCTGTTTTGAGGGAAGTGCTGGACATGGTGGACGGGGTGAATATTTACATTACATCTGTCAAAACTTGATTTGCACATTGATTACAAAAATAAGTCTGTTGTGGATCATATTTGCTGTTTACTGCTCGGGCTCCTACGCAATTCAAACATCTACAAAGTATGTTTTTTATTTTTTTACTGTTTTCAACATCTAAATAATCTAACAAGGTTGAGTCAGGTCCTCTGGGTAGATTCTTGTTGAAACGTTTCATCTATTATCCAAAAGACTTCTTCAGTCTGAGGAGCTGCAACAAACTCAGTCTTTAGACATTAGCATAGTTGCTACATGCATTTTTAGCAGATTAAACACAGTTCCTGTTTACTTGGGACAAGACACAAATTCTTTAATTAAAAAGTGCAACATTTAGTGCTTCATTGATCTTCAAAATAGTTTCAGTGCAAGCCGTGGTCTTAAAAGCTTGGTAAAGCATCTTTAAGGCCTATTAGTAAAACAACTAAAGTTCTCTGTGATTAAAGACAGCAAAGACCTTGCTGTAATTCTTCTCAAATGTCATTTCTGTTTTCATTCATTGAAATTATTTCTGTGTGAAGGAGTCTGATTATGATTATCCAAGGGTCGCTCTTCACCCATAGCCCTTACATTGCCCATGTGTACTATATAAATGCGCACCATTTTCCGTAGGTTGTACAATGTTTACTAGGGATGCACGATATTGGATTTTTGGCTGATATGTTAAAAGCCGGAAAAGGGTAGAGTGCCCTCTCCGGGTCAGGGAGGAGGTCCTGCCCCAAGTGGAGGAGTTCAAATATCTTGGGGTCTTGTTCACGAATGAGAGAAAAATGGAACTTGAGATCGATAAGCGGATAGGTACAGCATCTGCAGTGAAGCGGGCGCTGTACAGGTCTGTCGTGGTGAAGAGAGAGCTGAGTCAAAAGGCGAAGCTCTCAATTTACTGATCGATCTACGTTCCTACCCTCATCTATGGTCATGAGCTTTGGGTTGTGACCGAAAGAACGAGATCTCGGATACAAGCGGCCGAAATGAGTTTTCTCCACAGGGTGTCTGGGCTCTCCCTTAGAGATAGGGTGAGAAGCTCGATCATCCGGGAGGGACTCAGAGTAGAGCCGCTGCTTCTCCACGTCGAGAGGAGCCAGTTGAGGTGGCTCGGGCATCTGGTTAGGATGCCTCTCTGGTGAGGTGTTCCGGACATGTTCCACCAGGAGGAGACTCAGAGGAAGACCCAGGACACGCCTTGGAATTCCCCTGGAGGAGCTGGCCCCAAGTGGCTGGGGAGAGAGAAGTCTGGGCCTCCCTACTTAAGCTGCTACCCCCGCGACCCAACCCCGGATAAGCGGAAGAAAATGGATGGATGTTAAAATTTATTTGGCTGATAATCGATACCAATACCGATAATTTTTCCCCTAGACCTACTTACAGAGACTACATAGCTTTCTCTGCTGTGGAATTAAAATACTATATTTTGCATGGTCTTTGTCAATTTGTCCTGCTACCAAACGCAGATGCCAGAAAGGGGACTGAACATGATGTAACACTATAAATTATATATATATATATAAACCACCTTTTTATATCTGTGAATTCTTTAACTTTATTTAAAATAAATTAATATTTCACTTTATTGCTAATATCAGCTGATACTGATACTATGCTGATATTATGGTGCATCCCTAATACAACTTCACATCCTCAAGTTTGACTTTGACACATTTTCAGCCTTTTCTGTTACTTAATTAAAAATATTGAACTGTTAGATTATGATCATAAATTTGTCACCAAAAAAAGACAAAATTCTTAGAATTATTATTTTTTTTTACATGTTCTGTGCAAAACATTTTTGCGTACAGTGTAGTGTGTTGTGTAATTTAAAGTAAATGTTCATGATTGCACATAAATATGAACCTGTACTGCCGTGCGTTTTGATATCCGTTAATTCACTTGCATTTTAGTGTAAATATCTTCTTTAGTTTAAATGTTATGACTTGATGTAAAACAGAAGAAAAAAACAACTTGTCTTCTTTCACGGAGGATTTGGAAGGCTTGTGCAACCTGACTTCGTTTGGCCTGCCTGAGGACAGTCCCAGCCCAGAGCGCCATCAGTTTCGTCTGGAGGGCAGTGCCCTGCAGGAGCTGAGCAAAGGCAGTAAGGGGGAACTCATCCCCATATCCCCCGGAGGCATCACTCCGCCCTCTATACTGTCCCACCGCAGACGGAGGTACATTACCATGTCGCCAGATGCCAATCACTCCATGACTCCCAAGAGCACGCCGGTTAAAATCCTGCCTTTTTCTCCATCTCAAGTAAGTCTTCACAGATAATACCTCAGAACTGACGCAGACACATTGTTAGACAGTTTGTAAGTAAGCGATTAATAAAGGGTAACTTGATAAATGCAGTATATTAAAACTGTACATGTTTGAGGCACAAATCCTGTATTATTGGGGAAGTAAACCCTTTTCATAACTAATGCATACATAGTGTTCTTTTTAGTGCCCCACCGATATGGAAAGTTTGGCTATCGCCAATGCTGATATTGGGAGGGGAGGGCGAGGTCTGATAATGTCTGTATTTTTTTTTTAGCTTTGTCGGGTCCCAATAATCAAAGTGAACAGAGTTGAGTGGGGCTTGTTTATTTAGCACAGCTGTTATCACTCATGAATCTCAAGCTAATCAGACCCATGCTATACATAGTCCCATAGTAGGTTTACAAGTGGTGCACTGGTCATAAAAACACTTCCTAATGTGTGCTCACATTTTCTGTCCTCCATATTCACCATAAAGTTATCAAGTGTGTTACATAAATATAAATTATACAAAGAAACACTCTTCCCTGTTCATTGTTTAGTCAGTCAGTCACTAATGGTAAAGGCCTAATTAGTAGTGACCGCAGTGTTTATGTTTTTTTTTTTGTTTTCTTTGCATAGAAGTAAAGATTTCAGACAAACAGTGCATTCTATAGAGGATGATAAAGATAACGTTACTAACACTGATATATTTTACCTCTATGTTTCATTTATTGTTCAGGATAAAGTTTTACAATGCAATATAGCCTATGCTAGGTTATCTAAACGTTAGCTTGTTAACTTGAGAGGCACTTAAGCGAATGACTAGGGTTGGAGGATTGAATAGAGTTTATTATTGTTGATTTGTTTTATTTTACAGATCAGTTAAAATAAACTTCCCAACTTCCCTTCTCTGTTCAGCAAAATACTCTACAGAGTATTGCTCCCCGCTTTGACTGTGACAAATGTGAAAGTAAAACTTAAGGGAACGGCCGTGACTTGAAAGCAGTCTTCATGTGCCTTCGGATACATTGTACAATTACAGTTGGTTCCCAGCATACTAGGGGTAGGTAAAACTTATAAGTGCTTATTTCGGCACATAATGGGACATTTATCACAGATACCGATAGGTCTCCAAACATATATATCGGCCTAAATATTTAAATAAGCTGAGACTGACTCGCACAGAATATGACTGGTTCTGTAACTAGGGGTGCAATTTCCTTAATTTGGGGAAATCGGCCGATACTTGCATGAGAAACCAATTTCACCGATTTTTTTTGTTTGTTTGTTTTAACAACAATTGTCTGAACTTCATTTATATTTCAGAGCACTACCTCATGGCCAGTTAAAACAAGTTTGTATTGTTTCTAGGATATTGTTCAAGGGTATGTTTTTCAATAAAATAATATTGAAAAATTGAAGGTGTATTGTGACCTTATAATACCTGACAGTTTTGCTTATAAAACAAAATCGGTATCGGCCAAAATCGGAATCGGCAGGTTAGACTTTTTAGAAATCGGTGATCGCCCAGAAAACTGCAATCAGTGCACCCCTATCTGCAACCTAAAACTCAAATATGAAAAGTTTTCGGTGAAATTAAATTGGTTAAAACTATTTACCAGAGAAAACTGACTCCTTAAAGGGACATATCTCACTTTATTTACTGCACAACACTGACCAAAGGCAGATTTTAGGTGTTTGTGGCGTTTTCTGATATGCTGTATAAATCTGTGAGGAACAGAACAAAATGATCATAAAGCTAAAAAAAATCTTCAGACAATTTGAACCTGCCGGGTTTATTTACCTAAGCCAGCTGCTGACTTGACTTTTTTTATTTCAGTTTCTGAACATGTGGACTAAACAGGATACTCACGACCTGGAGAACCCCTCCCTCACATCCACCCCAGTTTGCAGTCAGAAAGTCATTGTTACTACGCCACTGCAGCGAGACAAGACCCCGCTCAACCAGAACGAAAAATCAGTGTGAGTTGTCTCGTTAGTGATGGCTTTTGGTTGCTGCTTCCACAGCTCATGTTTCCATTAGGCAAAACGTTCCGACTATTTTACTCGTGTGTGTGAAGTTTAAGTCTCTGAGTTGAAGAGGTTGTAACAAAGTCTAAGTCTGTTCGATTGTCAGTGTTCATGTTCTGTTTTTACTTTTAGATTTGTTACTCCTAACCACAAGTCTGAGCTCTGCATGACTCCACGAACTCCAACACCGTTCAAAAACGCCATGGAGAAGTACGGCCCTCTGCAGCCTCTGGTGCGTGTCACCCTGTACCTGTTGTTGACATTGTTGTTGTTTCTTTGTTCATTCTTATATTTTTGGTATTTTCTGTTTTATCTTCTCAGCCTCTGACTCCAAACCTCGAGGATGACATAAATGAGGTTATCCTGAAAGACTCGGGAATTGATTTGGTTTTTGTTCGTTCAACTCCACCTGAGCAAAGGCGCAAAACATTGGTAACAAACACTAACAAATTAAAAACTTCATGCCTGTTTCAATCTAATTAAGAGAAGTTAGTTATGAGTCTTTACATTGAGTATTAACAAAGCATGTAGACTTTAACGGACCATAATCCAAGGAACCATCCAGACCGTGAGCAGGAGTGTTTACTGTAGTTATCCAAGGTCTATCAGCTTTAGGTTGGGTTGCTTTATTGGTGCCTTCAGCATGGCTGCTCTTTGTAAGGAAAGTGTACAGTTGTAATAAGTGTCAATAGGTGATATGAGATTTTCAGTTTGATTGGGCCAAGATGGTTCAGAAGTAGGACAGCCATCTTGGGACCAGAAAGTTGCAGGTTCAACTTCCTGCCATGCCCACATGTCATGGTGTCCTTGAGCAAGACACCTAAACTGCTCCCCGGGCGCTTACATAGCTGCCCACTGCTCCACCTGGGTGTATCTCACGTGTGATGGGTTAAATGCAGATAACTAATTTCGTCATTGTAAAGTGTAAACTATGCAAATGGTAAATGGACCGTACTTATATAGCGCCTTTCTATCTTATTTCAAGATACTCAAAGCACTTTACACTACAATCCGTGTCCTCATTTACCCTTTCATACAGCACTCTACTAGATCTCTACAAAGCTAATTGAACAAATCATTCTAATGAGACTAATCAGTGCTTTAGCTCACATTCATACACTGATGGAACACACATCAGAGGCTATGAGGGGTTAAGTGTCTTGCCCAGGGACACTTCGGCATGTGACTGCTGGTGGATTCGAACCCCCATCTCTCGCATTGGAGGATGACTGCTCTAACCACTCAGCCACAGCCGCCCCCGGTGTGTGGTCATCACTGTGTGTTTTTATACAATGACAAAATTAGTTTTCTGCATTTAACCCATCAGGTTCAGGTTAGGTTTATTTGTCATATGCAAAATCAACACAAGGTCAACAATGCAACAAAGTGTTTAGGACGAGAAGAACCGTCTCGACTCACAAAAAACAAAATAGAAGAAAAAAAAAAAAGAAATGTCAATACACAGGGATACACCCAGGTGGAGCAGTGGGCAGCTATGTAAGCGCTTGGGGAGCAGTTAGGGATTAGGTGTCTTGTTCATAGACACCACGGCATGTGGGCATGGCAGGGAGTTGAACCTACGACTTTCTGCTCCCAAGTCGGCTGCCCTACCTCGACACCATCTCGGACCTTCTGTTTGCTGTATAGAAAACTTACAACAATGACAATGCTCTTATCCATAGACTAAAATACCATGGTTTCATACATACAAGAATATTTAAAAATAACATTGATTGGCTTTTATTTAAAAACAGAAATGCAAATGTTAGCACAGCTGCCTAAACCGTATCACTGTTGTTTAATGATTACATTTAGGGCTGGGCTATATGGACCAAAATTAATATCTCAGTATAAATGGTGATATATGATATATATCTCAATATTTTTTTCTTTCCATAAAGTAACAACAAAACTATATTTCTGAGTCAAAGCTTAGTCACAATTGTCACACAGGCACCTTTATTAACAAACAGCTGTACTGTAACTGTACAAAATGTCTCAAAAATAAAATAAAATTTATTTCCTGCATAACAAACCAAAAACACAGCTGTGCACTTACAATCAATCAATCAACCTTTATTTATACAGGTAAATCCCATTGAGCCTCGAGGACTCATTTACAAGAGAGACCTGATTTCAACAAAGAAAGATGACAACAATGGACAACAGCAACAACAAAACAGT